TTTTCTACGAACATACATATTGTTGTGGAATCCAAATAATTTTATCTAATTGCACTTTACTCTGTTTTTTCAATCTTTACCCAACTTTTCCTATGCTCATTATATCCCCAATCCATTATTCATGATAAAACTACAGCAAAATAGTTTCTTTTAAAATCTGGCATATTTAAATCCCCTTCTTTGTTATCTTTACTTAGGATCTCCTGTTTTACCCTTGGTTTTTTATTTGCCCATTTATATCTCATTATTATTCTTTTCAGTGCCACAAAATATATGGCAGATAAATTGGCAACATTTGAAACTTATGTAAAGTTTTAGGTTATATCACCATCTTAACCATATTTATTTGGCCTATCCAGGAAAGTGATCCTCTTGACATTTTACTCAATTCCCCTTTTATCTCAATTATTAACGGGATGTAACTTGCGTGGTATATTCCCTTCAATGACGATGTTAACTTCTAAATAGTTTAGTTCTTTATTCCGCCATATAAAAGGGAAATTTCCTTGAATCACATGTCTTTCTCTCTTTAGTAGGTTAATATTCAATATCTCTGACTTCAAAAGGTTAATCTTAAAGTTTGACAGCTCTCCATACTGTTTTAATGCTGTCATTAAATTTGGTAGTGTCAATTCAGGATTTACCACATAAAATAATATATCTTCTGTTTACACAGCCACCTTGTGCTCCATATCTCCAATTTTTGGATCTCTTTATATCTACACTATTTCGTATAGTAGCTAACAGGCTCTAAAGATAGTATAAACAGGAGGGGTGACAATGGACACCCCTGCCTTGTCCCATTATACATTGTAAATGTGATAATGTACCATTAATCTTCACAGCTGCAGAGGGGTGGTTATATAGATTTTTATCCATCGCGTCATTTTAGGTCCTAATATTTTGAAAGTACTTATCATAAATCCCCAATTTACACTGTTCAACACTTTCTGCGTCTATCGACAGGAATACCACTGGTAACCTCTCCTTCCTACTCTTTTGCAGAAGGCATAGTGATCTCAGACCATTATCCCTTCCTTCTCTTCCCGGTTATAAACCCAACCTGATCAAGGTGTACCCCCATTCTGTCATTAGGTCTTTCATCCTACTAGCAATGACCTTCACATATAATTTCGTATCCATATTTAGTAATGATATTGGCCTGTAGCTGGTACATTGAGATATATCTTTTCCTTCTTTGGGTATTATCGTAATATGTGCTAATACTGACTCCTTCCTCATTTCTGTACCTGCTCCTAGAGCATTCATATGTACACACATTTTAGGCACTAGCTGTTCTTTAAATTTCTTATAATATCTTACTGTATATCCATCCGGTCCCAGGCTTTTCCCTGCCACTGTGCTCTTTATTGCTGCTAGTATTTCCTCTTGTGAAATTGGATTTTCTAACATTTGCCAGTCTTTCCTCCTCTACTCTGGGTAATTCAACTGTTTTTAAGTATGTCTGAATTTTCACATTTCTTTCTCCTATCAGAACCTTTTGATCCTTATTATTAACTGCATACAGCGAGCTATGATATTTTTTCAATACGGTAACAATCATTTTACTTCATTGTACTATTCTCTCCTGTTTTATTTCTAATCTTCTCTATATAATTTACTGATTTCTTTTTTCTTAATTTTTGCCATGTATTTTTCTGGTCTGTTGCTCCCACATATATCTTTCCTTTGCCACCATATTGAAAATCCTTTTTGTCTCTTGCTCCATTAGATCATTCAACTTGTCTCTTTTTAAAATTATCTTATGTTGTACTTCTATTTTTGTTCTTCTCTTATGTTCTTGTTCTAATTTATATAATTCCTCTATTAGTATTCTCATCTTTTCTGTGCGTTTCTTTTTTTTTTTCTGCTCCTATCGCAATCAGAATGCCCCTTATATATGCTTTATGGGCTTCCCAAATCGTGACCACTGAGACATCTTCGGTTTCATTCAGTTGAAAATATTTTTCTATTTCTTTTTTTATTCTTCCATCGATTTCCAGATCCTGCAATAATGTATCATTTAACTTTCATGTGTTTAGACTTTTTAAACCTCCTTCGATTTTCAACCTCATTGTGACTGGTACATGGTCTGAAAGAGTTGTAATTTCAATCCTGGATTTAATTAGTGACTCCAGTAATCTATATTCTATCAACATGTAGTCCAGTCTAGAGTATGTTGCATGTGCAGAGGAATAGAATATATAATCCCTTTCCCTTGGGTGCTTAATCCTCCATGCATCTATCAATTGACATTGATGTTACCTCCTTTTCAGAGATTTTAAATATATACTTCCCTCTTTCTGAACATGAGACAAAGTATCCAGCTGGAAATCCATGCAGAGATTGAAATCCCCAGCCACAATCAGTTTTCCTTTCTTAAAATCCATCAATTTCCTTAGTAGACCCTCTAAAAAGCCCATTGCATTCTTATTTGGACAATAAATATTTGCTAGCGTACATTTCATACCATTTAATTTTCCATTCAGAAACAAATACCGAACCTCTGGGTCAACCAACCTATCTTCTATGGTAAATCTTACATCTTTTCACATCCCAATCGCTACCCCTTTAGCTCGTTTTGTAGGCGAGTCTGCATAAAACCAGGTCAGGTAATATCTTGATTGTAACCTGATTGTTGTATCACGAGATATATGTGTCTCTTGTAGGAATACCACATCGATGGAGCACTGCCATATTTCATTAGTAATCTTATATCTTTTACCGGAGAATTCAGCCCCTTTACATTATAGATCATTACATTCTTATCTAACATCATTTTGCAACAATCCCTTTTTGCATTTGAACCATATATAGGGAAGGATATTATACAACAATATTAGGACTCTGAGAAATTTTCAAAATAACCTTTTCTCTCTTTCCCACCCCCCTAAACCTGCCCCCTTCTCCCTCCCCTCCCCCATCCCCCACCCAACTCATAGGTCTTATCCAGTACTTGGATCTGTTGTGGTTCTAACCACACCCTTCATGATGAGTGAGTTTCTAAGCGTGTTAGACCTCCCTGTCCCCCCGCCATTAATTAATCTTTCTTCTCATACCTTTACATTACACTAACTACCCCCCCCCCCATCCCATCCCCCCTGTCCCATCCCCCGCCTGAATTTCCCCTCCCTTCAGTTTAAGTACAAGATAGTAGCAGTCCAGCAGGAGGAGGAGAAAAAAAAGAGGGGAAGTGGAAAGCGGGGGCAGAGGGAGGGACAACACAAGGCGGGAAAGGAGGGAAGGGAAGGAAAGGCAAGAAAACGAAGTCCCTTTTATAAATATAAAAAGAATGGAGGATTTTTCTCTAAAGTCTTGCAAGTATCGTCTTTCCTCCTTCTTTCAACATTTATTTACGTGTTTTATCTCAGTGTTATCTATCTTCTTTCCTTCCTACTTAATTCATCTCTGTTGTAGTCCTTTTTTCTTGAAATTAAATGCCATCTCTGCTTTTCCAGTCCCATTTCCTTCCTCCTTCCCTCTGTCCAACTCAGGATATCAGGTACTTACAAGTATCCAGTCTCTCACAGAAATCCTGCAGTTCTTCTGGGAGTCTCAATCTAGCTGAACGTCCCTCTTTCCATCCAATCAGGCATGCAGGAAATCCCCAATTATATTGAATATTTTTTGCATCTATTCCAGCAATGGTTTCAACACTCTTCTCGCCAATGTTTCAGGCGCTATATGTGCATATAGTTGTAAATTCACTTCTCCAAATGTTATTGCTGGCATCCCTTTCATTATCTCCCATATTCTTATTTTATTCTCATAATAATGAAGTATACTATCACGTCTCTTGGGGTTCCTGTAATCACACCTGGAGGGCTCTTTATCCTGTGAACTCAGTCAATTTTCAGTCATTTCATTATAGGTCTGTCTATTAGTGGATTAAATACTTTATTCATTACATCTCTTAGATCTTCTCCTTGGGGTCCTTCCGGTAGCCCCTGGATCCTCAGATTATTCCTTCTGTTTCTGTTCTCCTGATCTTCAATCTTATAACACAGTCTCCTCTGTTCGAGTCGCATATATTCCAATTGACTTTTGAGCTCTGTTACTATTTGACCCTGCTTATCCAGCTTTCCTTCCGATTCTTCAATCTGGGACAGCACCTGCCCCAGATCCTTGTGTATTATTGCCATATAATTTTTTAAAGAGTGTTCTAATTTTGCGAACATATCTGCTATTTTTTTTTTTTTTTTGGCGTCAGAGTTCCTGCTTCCTTGCTCCTCCCGAATTCGTTATTTCCAACTCACTTTCTGTGTTTAGGATCTATTTGCCTTGATTTAGATCCGTTGTTTCTATTGATGAACTGGATTGGTCTCCACTATTGTTTTCTGATATTTGTCCTCTATCCCCTGCTGTCTCTCAGGGGTCCGATTCCCTGGACTTTTCTCCGCTCCTCATGTTCCGCTGCCCAGCTGCTCTCCTGACCTGCTTGATTTCTGCAGTGACTGTCTGCAACTGCTTCTCTGTCGTCTTCTCAGTGTGGGCTACAGGGGGTCCACACATGGCTTTGCTTTCCTCCTACTCCTGTGCTCCTCTTCCCAACCATGCCTTACACAGGGGTCAAAGTGGCCACCTTGCAGCTGTCTCCCAGCTTCCCCTGTCACTCCGGAGTACGGACCAGCACCGCTCGACCGCTCTCCGGACAACCCCGGGAGCACACCTCCGGAACCGACTGTCTCCTCATTACATTCTCGGCGGGTGCATTGGAGCTCTCTTCACACGCTCCCTATCGGCACCATTTTTAGGCCACGCCCCATAGCAACCGACTGATCAAATTTCAATCAGTGTGTAGCTGCCCCACCTTTTGATCAACTTCTGTTGCAGGGATAGAAACAAAACATTTATGGCCAGCTTTAGCATCATTCGCTCTTTGAGAAATATAGGGTGCCTTGTCCTGTATATTATGTCCTGTATATTATTGTGACTCATACATGTCTGATTTGTGAAAATAACATTGTCCATTATATCTATATTTCTATATTTTTTTTCAGACAATATGTGCGTTAATTTGCTGCAAGTCCATTGTGAAACCTGAGTACTTTAATGAAATGATCAAAGCCATCAAAGAGAAAAAAGCACTGCCTGAACCTAAAAGGTATTTTGCTGCGCACCTGTGACCTGCAGATTGTATTGTGCTGCGGGTGAGATATAGATAATGGTCATCCGCTCCTGAATCCTACTTTTAGATATCACTCTGCTTGCTTGAAAGGAACACTCCAGTAGAACATGAAAATGTTGTATGTATACTGACCCAGCCTACTTGCTGCAGAGATCTAGTTTTCCATCAGACATTCACTGTGTGCAGATAGATACCTTGGCGGCTAGTTTTAGTAATGTATCAATGTCTCTGAATGTGAGCGTGAAAGAATTAAAGTGATATTAAAGGATCTTTCTTTTCTTTTTTAAAAAATAACAAGCATGTTATACTTATCTGCTCTGTGCAGTGGTTTTGCACAGAGCAGCCCCTATCCTCCTCTTTTTGGGTTCCTGGCCGGCGCTGCAGGCCACTGCCTCCTGTCTAGGGCCCCACATAGCAAGCAGCTTGCTATGGTGGCACAGGAGCAGGCTCACTCCTGAGGACCTGCTCTGTGTGCACTGCCCCCCTCCCTTTCCTGATTGGCTCACTGGCTCTGATTGACAGCAGCCTGAGCCAATGGCTCCCACTGCTGCCTCAGCCAATCAGGAGTGAGAGTCCCTGGAGAACCGAGGCTCTTGTGGACATCACTGGATCAAGAGGGATCTCAGCCAATGAGGAGAGAGAGACCCAGGAAAGCGGAGGTTCTCTTGCACATCTCTGGATTGGGAAGGGGCTCAGGTGAGTTTTAGGTGGGGCTGGGGGTGTGCTTGAGCCTTTACAACCACTTTAACATTGTGTGCCTTGGTTCTGAGCACTGGCCTCTGTAGTTTCTAAAGGTGGAAGGCTTGTACAGAATAGTGTGTTTGGGAGCTGCAGTTCAGTTTCCCCCTTCCACCCCACCTTTGCCTGGAAGCACAGTAAAAAAACCCTCATGTGACTAGAAACAATTGATTATATAAAACACAGGATTAAAGAGAGCCTGTCAGGCTTAATATGTCATCCACAAATGGAGACGTTTTTCCTTCTGGAAGCATTGCTTGATCTTTTGTGAAAGAGAAACTGCATCATCACGCACGGCTCTGGAGCTGGCACTGCTTTTGTAAGTTGGGCAATAGCAATATTAGTTTCTGGGTGGGAACCTCGGTTTTGACAGGTAACAGCCACCAGATTCATTCATTAGTTACACATCTATGAACCCACACATGTTTTTGGCGGGATTTTTCATTCATGTGTGCAAGTTGCATGGCATAGCATGGTTGTTTGAGATCAGTTACAGAAAGCTAGAGACAGCCAGGAATTTTAGAAGGAGCAGTGGTAGTCTTTGCATTTCTACTAGTTCAGGTTTCCTTTATTCAGGTGTTTAAAGTGTATGATGGATGTCCTAATTGTATTTTAATGGCTAGTTTTAAGCATGTAGAGTGTTCTCTAGGCCTGCAGTTAGTACCACTAGGAACACTTTAGATTTTGGAAATATTCTTGAATTCCTTTGTCTTCTCCAATATGTGTACCAACATACATTTTGTATTCCAGATATTGTACTGGGGTTTATTGGTCATCATTGTTTAACCATTTACAGGCAATTGGAACAATCAATTGGTGAATTCCTAATGCTACCCAGGAAGCAAAAGGGGCTCATTTATAGTTGTGTTTGGCAAGATGGTGTGTTAAAAACATGCGGCATTGCGGAGTCGCATTTTTACTGCTTTCCCTTAAAGAGGAGCTATAGTTTCCAAACAAGTCTTAATAAACACATCTTCAGTAAGTTTAGGGAGTGATTTTGCTTTATAAGCTATTCAAAAGAATATTGAGCATTTACGGTTTAACCATTTCAATACCGGGCACTTTTACCCCCTTCCTGCTCAGGCCATTTTTTGGCTTTTAGCGCTCTCACACTTTGAATGACAATTGCGCGGTCATACAACATTGTACCAAAACTAACATTTTATCATTTTCTTCACACAACTAGAGCTTTCTTTTGGTGGTATTTAATCACCGCCGGGGTTTTTATTTTTTGCTAAATTAACGAAAAAAAAACAAAAAGTTTGAAAAAAAAAAACACGTTTTTCTTTGTTTCTGTTATAAAAGTTTGCAAATAAATAATTGTTCTTCATAAATTTAGGCAAAGATGTATTCTACTACATGTCTTTGGTGAAAATAACCCAAATTAGGATGTATTTTTTAGTTTGTAGGAAAGTTATAGAGTTCACAAACTATGGTATAGATCTGAAAATTGATCAATCCTGAAGTACTGACAGCCAATCTAATTTCTTGAGGTCCAAGAATGTCAGAAAAGTACAGATATCCTCCAAATGACCCATTTTTCCAAAGTAGACACTCTGATGTACTTCATAAGAGGCATGGCGGGTTTTTTGAAGTTGTATTTTTTTTTTCATAATTTTTCGGAAAATGAAAAAAGTAAAACAAATTATTTTCACTATTTTATTTTTTTTACATACTGTCACCAGTGCAGTACAGCATCATCATATAACTGGCATGGCGGTGATCAGGGACACTGACTGGTGACAGCACGAAAAAAAACATATATAATTTAAAAAAAAAAAAATTTATTATTAATTTTTTTATTACATTTTTTTCATTTTTTTTTTAAAGATTTGTTTTTCATATTTCACTATGACCAAAGTAGTATAATGTTACCATAGTAACATTGTACTACTTTGGGGAAGTGATCAGTATTTTTTTTTTTTTTTGTTACACAATTTGCTTAAAGCAAAGAATTACTTTGCTATAAGCAAGCATTTACCTGAATGACATTGATTCATTCAGAGTTTTTTTTTTTTTTTTTGTGCTTGGCTGTGATTTGGCCACGGCTAAACACATGACATGTGCATGTGATCGCTGTGACCATTCACAGCTAGACACTAGTATACAATGGATGGCATGAATGAAGCCATCCATTGTATACAACTGTCATGTGACCTGCTGTGATTGGTCACACGTGTGATTGCGCGGCTCTGCAAGCACGCAAACTGCGCATGCTCGGGAGGACGCCATATGGCGTCCACCCGGAAAGCTAAAGCATTTTGCCGGCCGCCAAACGGCTATTGGCGGGTGGCTAATGGTTAAATATGAGGTTGATTACCACAGAATACAAATCTGTTGGAAGCCATCCTATGTAAGGGCATCTGAAGCTGGTGCCCTTTAACTTCCAGGATTTTGTGCAGCTTGCTACTCTGCATTCACATCTAGTTCATGCGCCTGCTCAGTGATCGCACTAAGCAGTACATAGAATTGTTGCCAGTTGGCACAGCAATGGCAACGTCAGTGGAAGTTCCTGCTCTGTAGCTAAAGCAACTTGTCAACATTAGTGAACCCGGAGCCTAACTCTGCCTGTAATTGTGTGAATTCCAGGTTTGAAAAAACACAATGCCACAAGCAGAGGATTCCCATTGACACCAAAATCCCAGAAGTCAATGGGACAGCATAGTGATCTAGATCATCTAGGCCAGGGGTGTCCAAACTTTTTTCAAAGAGGGCCAGATTGGATGAAGTGAACATGGTAGAGGGCCGAACATTTTTCCGAACATTCTTTGAACCATTACAATTAAATGCAAATAAATTATTTTATGCCAAGTTAATTGCAAACGACATACTTTTCATTTCATAACATTAAGATCAACTGACAGCTGAGTTTTCACAATGTATTGAAAATAAATTTAAAAAAAACTTACCTACACTAATGTGAAGGGTGAAACTGAGATCTGGACTGCAGCAAATCGGTTAGATCAGGTACAAAGGCAGTGGTTTTGATGCGCAAAATGTCACGCAGATGAGAGTCACTTAGTCTTGTCCTCACACGGTTCTTGTTAAAGTTCATAGCAGAGAATGTCTTCTCACACAAATATGTTGAGCGAAACAAGCTCAGCATTTTCTTAGCCAATGTCCGAATCTCTTGAAACCTGCCCTTATCCAGTTGGCGGTAAAAGTTCACAAGAGAGAGCTGTTGGTGACGACTGCGTAACTCGCTGTCACAATGCAGCTCAGTGAGCTCAAGCTGCAGCTGATCTGGAGCATCATCGGGGTCAACAGAGAATGGAGAGGAGAAAAGGCTGATCTCATTTTCAATAGCTGCAAAATCTTGAAAGCGCTGTTTAAACTCTTCAGCCAGAGATGCAATGTCTGCTGCATACCTGCTCATTTGCGCACTGATATTGTCCTGTGAAAAACTGTTCATTACTTCCTGCAATGCTGAAAAATGTATGGTATTGGGCTGTGTTTGTGACAAATGCCTTTGGAAAAGTTGCAGCTTTGTTTCAAAGGCCTTGAGGTGTGAATAAAGCTGGTTTACCACTGCATCTTTTCCCTGAAGACTCGTGTTTAGTACATTCAGATGCTTTGTTATGTCAATTAAAAACCCCAAATCAGCCAGCCAAATAGGATCAGATAGTTCTCGCATCGGTTGCCCCTTTGTTTCCAGGAATTCTTTGATTTCCTTTCTGAGAGAGTAAAAACGCTGCAGTGCAGACCCTTGACTGAGCCATCTTACATCGTTGTGATATAAAACATCTTCATATTCAGCCTGGATGTCCAGTAGAAACTGTTTAAACTGGCGGTGGCACAGAGCTTTAGCACGAATAAAATTAATATTCTTTACAACCGGTTTCATAACATGATCATATTTGAGATATTTAGCACAGAGAACTTGCTGATGAATGATACAATGGAGTTTAATAGCTTCGCCTCCTTCTTCAATCACCTTGTTACAGATTAGGGTTGATAATCCACTTCTTTCACCAACCATAGCAGGTGCCCCATCAGTAATAACCCCAGTAACTTTGTTCCAGAGCAGTTTCATGTCATCTATTGCGGAACTAACGGCAACAAATAAATCTTTTCCTCTTGTTTGATCCGTAAGGCTTTGGAGGTCAAGTAGCTCTTCAGTCACATTTATTTCATCGTCCACCCCTCTCAAAAAAATCAGCAACTGAGCTGCGTCAGATAGGTCTGTGCTTTCATCACAGGCTATTGAAAAGAAGTCAAAATCCTGTCCTTTGGATATCAACTGTCTCTTATTATCTGATGAAATATCGTCAATTCTCCGCGCTACAGTGTTACGACCCAGGCAAATGTTGGCAAACTCTTGCTTCTTCTCGGGACAGATATTCTCAACCATTTTCATAATGCACTCTTTAATAAATTCACCCTCAACAAAAGACTTGCAATTTTTAGCAATTAAACGTTGCCACCTCATAGCTTGCCTTTGTGGCATTTTCATTTGACTCACAGGCTCTTGTGAAAAATTGCTGTTGTGACATTAAAACCGCTTCAAGTTGCTTCAGCTTTTTACTGCGGTCGCGCCCTGTTAGTTTGTCGTATGTGCTATGTCTCGTCTGGTAGTGTCTCTTGACATTAAATTCTTTATAAACGGCCACAGTCTCTTGACATATCAGACAAACACAGTGATTCCGTATTTCAGTGAAAAAAAAAATCCACTTTCCACCTTTCCTGGAAACGGCGGCCCTCACTGTCAACTTTCCTTTTTTTATTTATAGTCGCCATTTTATAAATTGGCCAGAATGGGAAGAGTGAATGGTGCAGTGCCAGAGTAAAAATGTGGCCCTTCTGGAAATATGTTTATGAGAGTAATATGACAGGAATTACATTTTGGAGATCTGTTCCTTGTTCATATTTAGCAAGCATAATTCTGCATTATTCTGCTTCTGTTTGACCTTGGCAGGTGTAAGCTGAGTTATTTGACACGGTCAGACTCTCTGGTAGCAGCTCACACACTTCCACCACTCCACAGCGTCACAGATTCTGCTAGGTCAGGGCCCTACCTACCTCTCTAAAGCTCCCCGCATCCCAGCCCATGAAATGGAGGTCTGTCTCACACCCCAAATACAGCAGTCCCGCGGAGGAGGTAGCTGGAGCTGAAGTCTCTGCACGTCAGCCGGGAGGGGAAGAGACACTTCACGCTGGAAGCCCTGACGTCACCGCCCTCTGTCGCTCCCAGTTTGCTGCAGTCAGGCATGCGCACTGCCCTCTGCTCTCAAGCAGACTGTCTGCCATAGAAGGGAGGGCCGTGAAAGGGCCACATTACGCTGGAAGCCCTGACGTCACCGCCCTCTGTCGCTCCCAGCGCGCTGCAGTCAGGCATGCGCACTGCCCTCTGCTCTCAAGCAGACTGTCTGCCATAGAAGGGAGGGCCACATTACACAGAGCAGGGAGGGCTGTTGGAGGGCCGTATTAAACCGACCCCCGGGCCGTAAATGGCCCACGGGCCGGACTTTGGACATGCCTGATCTAGGCTAACAGATCCAGCTATGGAGGCAAAATTACAAATAAAAAAAAAACCCATATAAGAACAAGGCAATCAGCATTCACATGGGACATAGTTGTGGAAGAGGGTGAAGATCCACTTTGAGCTGGGTAGTGGCCTTGGTTGTACACATACCATGATTTATTACTTTGTGGCCATGGAAAATATTGTACCCCTGTTTGTCAGGCAGTACCAGCCACCTAGAAAAAAAAAAAAAGCATCAGTCCTTGCCACAAGTGTAAAGAGTTTAAAGGAGCCCTTAATATGTAAAATTTAAGAAGTCCATTGTATAGTCCTTTGCACCCCAATATTTATCATGTTTTCATTGTGGTCATAATGGGAACTGCTGTCTCTTTTCTCATGAATGTGCTTTGCAGACTACTTCTGATAGAACTATAGAGGGGAGCTCTGGGATCCAGGGAGCACACTGGTCTGTATTTTATTTAGCCATTCAGAAAATTATGCCAACAGCAATAGAGATTCAATAGAATGGCAACCAGCTGTACAAGACGAATAGTAAAACAAGAGCTGATTACCAAACATGCTTTCTCTTGAGTGAGTGACTATCTCTCTAATATTTGTAAAGTCTCTTCCCATTATTAAAAGCCATTTTTCTTTTCTGTTTTTTCCTCTAGCTTTGTTCCAATAGTTGATGAACCTTCCCTACAGATTGACTCATTAGATCTCTCAGAAAATAGGAAAAGAAAAACTATCTTCAAAGATAACATTTTTCTGTTCTTGACTGCCAAGCAGGTGCGTACTATGTGTGAGGGTGAGCAATTTATATTCTATGTATTTTCCAGTATCTCATTACAGCTACATCTGTGCTTCATCTGTTCTGTGTTGCACACGGTGGTCAGTGTATGGTGGAGAGAAGATAATGGGATCCGCACTCTGTTGTAAATATTCCCCCTCCGTGTTACTTACCTGGAACAAGTATGCCAGTAAGGACTTCTGATTGTACTCTGACTTTTCCTGATGTGCATACTTTTTCAGGTCAGTGCCTTGTATTTTTTTGAACTTAGAGGGTCCATGTATTAGCCAGAAAACAAGCATCATCAGAATAGGATCAAAAATGACAACCCCCATGTGAGTCTGAAGAAAGCATTACTATAAGACATAGATTTTAAGACTTTTAAGAAATCTTTCTAACAAACAGATCACTTTATGAAACAATTTTCTGAAAAATAATTGTACTTTTGCAAAATACACAGTGACAGACATTAGCACAAATGGTCTTTCCACAGGAAATGTGTGTGCAATCATGTGTTCAGTTACCTTAGGGGCAAAAAACAGGCATGTAGAACAATCATCAGCTGAGAATCTGCCTGTTTAGATATTAGTACTTATAATAGTACTTATAATTAGTACTTAATAAAAGAGAAGTTCGGGAATTGCAAAAAAAACAGTCATACTCACCTAGATGGCTGCAGCACCGATCCCAGCTGCAGCTGTCCCCCACTGCCTCTGAGACTGAGAACTGCGCTATCAAACACTGCTAATTGCTCAGTTCTCGGTCTTCAGGCTGCCGAGAGCTGGTGACTCTCATTGGAGTGCTGGGCTGTGGTGGAGACGGGAACAGCTGGATCAGGCTCTCAGTGACACACAGAACTATAGCCAAAACAAGCTTTGACCATATTTCTGCTTTAACTACTATTTCCAATTCTGTGAATCAACTTTTCTTTTGATATATAATGTCATCTGCAAAAAATATTGTCTGTAACCTTTCATCAATGACTAAATGTCCTGAACAGAGTTTTTCTTCAAGCTCCTACTTTAGGTCTATGGTTAGCTTTTTATCAATGACCAAATTGCTTGCATGTTACGGTGCTCTTGCTATTGATAACAAATATAAACGTAGAAGTTGCACACATTTTGTTAGACTTCCTCTAGTAGTTAATTGCATTTGAAGCCATATTAGTTTTTTTTCTGCTTTTCTGAGTGTCCTTGTTTGATTGTTATGTGAAGAATCTTATTCTGTGCAGCACAAGAAACTGAGCCCAGCAGTTCACTTTGGTGGTGCCAAAGCCCAACTGTTAACAGGAGAATTGGATGACAAGCATCTGCTAGAAAACCCAAAGGCTTGTGTAATCGATTTGGGAGCCACAGAATCCCAGCTGTCTGAATCTCAGACCCCAGCCTGGGTCACATCTATTATTAATATTCTTCAAGGGTGAGACAACATTCCATATATGTTTCCATAGACCTAATGAGAAGAGGAATCTTGATTTTGTGTGCTGGGATCAGTTAGAGACCTGTTCCTTACACTACAATGAAAAAAAAAAATGTTGGGGTATGGCACAACATTGTGGTGTGTGTTTCTTTGTTCTTCATTGAATATCAGAGCCTCTTGAATGCCTCCTGGACATCTTTATGTCAGCAAAGGTAGATCATACAACCCAACTCCAGATAGGGTGAAGAAGGGATGAAAATTCTGCTAGCCTTTATTCATTTCTTTCTGTGCCCACTAGGGAGATTTAAGCTAGCCTTCTATGTTGGTGGCAGAGGTTTGAGGAATGATAAGTTATAGGGAAATCTCCCCAATAGCATCCCAGTGTGCCAGGAACTTCTGCTCCCTGATTCTTTCTCCTGGTGTCACATGGATAAAAATTGAAGGAGATTTTCCCAAAGACAATAGCAAAAAGCCAACAAATGTAGTAACTGTACCCATATCCATGTTTTTACAGGCACAATTTAACAGTGGACAAAAAACTGTAGATGCTGACTTTTAAAATACAGCCTAGGCAATCTGAGCGTAAGTGGGAGCGGGTATCTGCTCCCCCCCATCCTTAATGGGGAGCAGAGGACAAAGCATTAAAACAGTTTTTTTTTCAGCTGAAACTCCGCTTTAAAGTGGTTGTAAACCTCATACATGAAATATGAACAAAGCATATTCTTCTATAGTGTGTGTATAAGGTCTGAATCCAGAGCACAGTGTCATTTCTGTTTGCTCCCCCATTCCTCTGCTATCTGCATGAGTCACTTCCAAAAAGAGAAAGAGAAAAATGGTGATGGGGAGGGCACATCCTGTGACTGACAGCCTCAGCTCTGTTCCTGTGTGGTGGGGGGTGTATCCCTTCTCTTCAATCACAATCAGAGCTACTGTCCATTTTCCTGACAGTTCAGACAAACTTTATAAGTTCTGGACTTAGAACAGATATAATGAAGAGAAAACTGCAGATAAACCGGTGCAACTTATGTGGGATAATTTTTTTTTTTTAATCTCTGTATATCACCTGAGGCTAGTCACTTCACTGGGTAAATGTAAGGGTTTATAATCACTTTAAAAGAACTGATTATTATTCTAAGTTCAGCAACTTCCAGAAGCTGGCAATTGTTTGCTTCCTTGCCGCAAAAAAAGAAATAGATGAGTTTACTTTATTAGGAATGCCTAGTATTGGTTTATTAAAGTGGTTCTAAAGTCTCAAGGTTTTTTTACCTTCATGCATTTTATTCAGGAGAGGGAGGGCGCTGGGCCGAGGCAAGGCTTTGTGTGTGAATGAACACGCAGAGCTGGGGCATGGGAGCGTGCCTGCTCCAGTGCCCCCATAGCAAACTGATTGCTATGGGGGCGCCTTACAGGAGGGAAGAGGGCCAGGAGTGCCGAAGGGGGACCAAAGAAGAGGAGGATCTGGGCTACTCTGTGCAAAACAACTGCACAGAGCAGGGAAGTATGACAAGTTTGTTATTTTTCTGAAAAAAAAAAAACAAGCCTCAAAGGGTATTTTATTAGCTGCTGCAGTGGAGGACCACGTTGATCCTATTGCAAGTTCTGATCCAGAGGTGTTTTGCTTGTGGGCATGACCACCAAATGTGGATCATAGTTCCTCCTTGTGATCCTTGTAAAATGTGCAGTGCCGCTCTAAGCTGAGATGAAGGTCTCCCCGTTGGTTTCAGGGAAGGGAGCAGGCGCATATGCACCATTCAGAAGCGTTAAGACATTGTCAGGAAAGAGAAGGGATGCTGCTCAACAACCCAGTGCTTAGTATATGGATGAATGTGGCCTCAGCCGCTCTAGACACACCCCCTGCCACATTTTGCCCCGCCCACCATGGGCTTGGTAACAGAGGTCCTAGTTCTTCCTTATTGGCAACCTAAACCTTTTTATATGTGTTTCATCTTTGTATTTTACTGTTTGTAAAAGTATACTGTTTCAGTATTCACATTATCTTGTTATACAGTCAGGTCCATAAATATTGGGACATCTACACAATTCTAACATTTTTAGCTCTATACACCACCACAATGGATTTGAAATGAAACGAACAAGATGTGCTTTAACTGCAGACTGTCAGCTTTAATTTGAGGGTATTTACATCCAAATCAGGTGAACGGTGTAGAAATTACAACAGTTTGCATATGTGCCTCCCACTTGTTAAGGGACCAAAAGTAATGGGACAATTGGCTTCTCAGCTGTTCTATAGCCAGGTATGTGTTATTCACTCATTATCCCAATTACAATGAGCAGATAAAAGGTCTAGAGTTCATTTCAAGTGTGCTATTTGCATTTGGAATCTGTTGCTGTCAACTCTCAAGATGAGATCCAAAGAGCTGTCACTATCAGTGAAGCAAGCCATCATTAGGCTGAAAAAACAAAATAAACCCATCAGAGAGATAGCAAAAACATTAGGCGTGGCCAAAACAACTGTTTGGAACATTCTTAAAAAGAAGGAACACACCGGTGAGCTCAGCAACACCAAAAGACCCGGAAGACCACGGAAAACAACTGTGGTGGATGACCGAAGAATTCTTTCCCTGGTGAAGAAAACACCCTTCACAACAGTTGGCCAGATCAAGAACACTCTCCAGGAGGTAGGTGTATGTGTGTCAAAGTCAACAATCAAGAGAAGACTTCACCAGAGTGAATACAGCGGGTTCACCACAAGATGTAAACCATTGGTGAGCCTCAAAAGCAGGAAGGCCAGATTAGAGTTTGCCAAATGACATCTAAAAAAGCCTTCACAGTTCTGGAACAACATCCTATGGACAGATGAGACCAAGATCAACTTGTACCAGAGTGATGGGAAGAGAAGAGTATGGAGAAGGTAAGGAACTGCTCATGATCCTAAGCATACCACCTCATCAGTGAAGCATGGTGGTGGTAGTGTCATGGCGTGGGCATGTATGGCTGCCAATGGAACTGGTTCTTCTTGTATTTATTGATGATGTGACTGCTGACAAAAGCAGCAGGATGATTCTGAAGTGTTTTGGGCAATATTATCTGCTCATATTCAGCCAAATGCTTCAGAACTCATTGCACGCCCCTTCACAGTGCAGATGGACAATGACCCAAAGCATACTACAAAAGCAACCAAAGAGTTTTTTAAGGGAAAGAAGTGGAATGTTATGCAATGGCCAAGTCAATCACCTGACCTAAATCCGATTGAGCATGCATTTCACTTGCTGAAGACAAACTGAAGGGAAAATGCCCCAAGAACAAGCAGGAACTGAAGACCGTTGCAGTAGAGGCCTGGCAGAGCATCACCAGGGATGAAACCCGTGTCTGGTGATGTCTATGCGTTCCAGACTTCAGGCTGTAATTGACTGCAAAGGATTTGCAACCAAGTATTAAAAAGTGAAAGTTTGATTTATGATTATTATTCTGTCCCATTACTTTTGGTCCCTTAACAAGTGGGAGGCACATATGCAAACTGTTGTAATTCCTACACCGTTCACCTGATTTGGATGTAAACACCCTCAAATTAAAGCTGACAGTCTGCAGTTAAAGCACATCTTGTTCGTTTCATTTAAAATCCATTGTGGTGGTGTATAGAGCCAAAAATGTTAGAATTGTGTCAATGTCCCAATATTTATGGACCTGACTGTATGTCCAGTTAATCTGTGCTAAATTACAGTATATCACCTATAAAGAGCAATACACCAGCAGTCACTAAAAACAGTAGATGCAACATAACTCATCAACGTAATTCTTTATTGTATCTGTACATTTATATTTCAATATATTTATTAAGAATTTTTAGAAACATTTTACAGAAAGACAGGAGATGCAACCCACGAACATGACAAGTTGCAAAACATAAACAATAAAACAGTAAATTCAAGTACAATGTGTAGCAACATAACAGAATCGACCAATATAGCGTAATGAGGAATACACTGGTAGCATAAACAAAGTTTGATCGATTATGAGCAAATTGCTCCATAAACAAGGTGGTATGAATAATATCATTCAATTAATAGACAAAAATATAGAGAACAAAAAATGAGGAAAGAACTGAAGAAAATAAAGAATAAAATCCAGAAAAAAAAGAATGAGAGAGGGCCAGCCAAGAGTCCGTTAAATAGCAGAAATATACCGAATCCATGGATCCCAAGTGCTCTCGAATTTAGAAGTATTGTTGTTAAGTACAGGTGAAACTCGAAAAATTAGAATATCGTGCAAAAGTTTCATTTATTTCAGTAATGCAACTTAAAAGGTGAAACTAATATATGAGAGACTCATTACATGCAAAGCAAGATAGTTCAAGCCGTGATTTGTCATAACTGTGATGATTATGGCTTACAGCCCATGAAAATCCCAAATCCACAATCTCAGAAAATTAGAATATTACATGCAATCAATAAAACAAGGATTGTACATAGAACAATATCGGACCTCTGAAAAGTATAAGCATGCATATGTACTCAGTACTTGGTTTGGGCCCCTTTTGCAGCAATTACTGCCTCAATGGATGCTTCAATAGCAGCCTTCAGCTCTTCAGCATTGTTCGGGTCTCATATCTCTCATCTTTCTCTTGGCAATGCCCCATAGATTCTCTATGGGGTTCAGGTCAGGCGAGTTTGCTGGCCAATCAAGCACAGTAATCCCACGGTCATTGAACCAGGTTTTGGTACTTTTGGCAGTGTGGGCAGGTGCCAAGTCCTGCTGGAAAATGAAGTCAGCAACCCCATAAATCTCATCTGTGGAAGGAAGCACGAAGTGCTCCAAAATCTCCTGGTAGATGGCTGCGTTGACCCTGGACTTAATGACCAGCAGATGACATGGCTCCCCAAATCAACACAGACTGTGGAAACTTCACAATGGACTTCAAGCATCTTGCAGTGTGTGCCTCTCCATTCTTCCTCCATACTCTGGGTCCTTGGTTTCCAAATGAGATGCAAAAGTTGCTCTCATCAGAAAAGAGGACTTTGGACCACTCAGCAACAGACCAGGTCTGTTTTTCTTTAGCCCAGGAAAGACGCTTCTGACGTTGTTTGTTGTGCAGGAGCAGCTTGACAAGAGGAATACGACATTTGAAGCCCATGTCCAGGATCCATCTGTGTGTGGTGGCACTTGATGCTCTGACTCCAGCCTCAGTCCACTCCTTGTGAAAGTCCCCAATACTTTTGAATGGCCCTTTCCTGACAATCCTCTCCAGGTTGCGGTTATCCCTGTTGCTTTTGCACCTTTTTCTTCCACACTTTTCGCTTCCACATAACTTTCTATTATGTGCTTTGATACAGCACTTAGGGAACATCCAATTTCTTTTGCAATTACCTTTTGAGGCTTTCCCTCCTTATGGAGGGTGTCAATGATGGTTTTCTGCACAACTGTCAGGTCAGCAGTCTTTCCCATGATTGTGATTCCTACTGAACCAGACTGAGAGACCATTTAAAGGCTCAGGAACCCTTTGCAGGTGTTATGGCTTAATTAGCTGATTAGAGTGGGACACTTTGAGCCTAGAATATTGCACCTTTTCACAATATTCTAATTTTCTGAGATTGTGGATTTGGGGTTTTCATGAGCTGTAAGCCATAATCATCACAATTATGACAAATCACGGCTTGAACTATCTTGCTTTGCATGTAATGAATCTATCTCATATATTAGTTTCACCTTTTAAGTTGCATTACTGAAATAAATGAACTTTTGCACGATATTCTAATTTTTCTTGTTTCACCTGTATATTAGTAAGTTTATCATCAATCATAATCCAATTAAGTTTCTGTTTAACTAATTTCAGCAAAATTGTTGACTGTTTCCAACGTTTGGCTATCGTAATTCTAGCCACCAACAGGATATAAAGAATCCGTTTAACCGATTTCTTATGAATATCAGTGGGCAACAAATGAAATAGAGCTATTTCAGGGCATCGACGAATATTAACCCCCGTTACCAAATAAAGGAAATTAAATAAATGGATCCAAAACCTAGTCACCACAGGGCATTTCCACCATATGTGCAGCATAGTACCCTCTTGTCCACAATGTCGAAAACAGCTGGGTGACACAGAAGGGTACATTTTAGCAAGACGTGTAGGGACCAGATACCACCGAAGAAGCGTTTTGTAGTTAGATTCAATGAGTGTAGCGTTAATTGAGATTTTAGATAGAGCATCAGCCGTATTCTGCCAAGTGTCCAGCTCCAGAGAAATAATTAAATCCCTTTCCCAATGTACCATATAAGAGAGCTTAATATTTGGATCAACGAGGGAAGCATATATATTAGACAGACGACCTTTCACCGTTCCCGTAGCCCTACAGGAGACCTCGAGAGGGGTGAGCGTACAGGGTTCCTTTAGTAATTTAAGTTTGCTAGTGACAAAAGACATGATTTGATGATAACGAAACAGTTCGATAGAAGGCAGGTGGCACTTTGTCTGAAAATATTGGAGAGAATATGGACGAAGTCCATCCAAATAGTCCCCGATACGCAAAAAGCCCTTATTGATCCACCAATGAAACACAGATGGTGTTAAACCAGGTGTGAATTGAGGATTATGGAAAATACAGGCTTACGGGCCCCCCATCTATCCCAGATTGTTAAAGAATATGATATGCCGTAGGGCAAAGGATGGGAGGGCGCAACTGACTTAGAAGCTACATAAGGGAGCCAACAGCATGTGGACGGCAAGATAGGGCCTCAATGCCAACCCATTGAGGCACATAGCCCCTAGCAGTAGTGCATGAGAGCTGCGTTATCTGAGCCGCATGGAAATAAGTCATAAGATTAGGAAGTCCCTGAGTTGTTTAAAAAGAGGGGGGTAGTTAGCACAATATAAAACAAACAATACGGCGCTAAATTAAAATTAACACACAAGCAACTCAATAGTATATTGCCCAAATATACAAAAAAAGACCATATACACAAATATATATATCATCGGTGTGGGGTGGAGCGGACAGATATGAGGATATCATGCATTAAAGTGACATAGATATAACTTGGTAATTAGTGTCCTTGTGTATCAAACAAATTTCATGCAGATGTGAACTGCAATGTGCCAATCCTCTATAGCTGGGGTGCCCCCTCACCTTCCTGCCCAGGCCACTAAGGACCAAAGGGCCATGGGTAATGAATGGAATGTTCCTCCGGATATCAGGTGGATCCCTCTGGCAGTAATGGTGGAACTCCCTCCTCTTGACTATATCATTAGTGATGGATGATACCAGTAGTGTCTCTCCAGTATATGGCTCTCCAACACGATCACCAGTGAAGCAAGAGAGACTCATATAGTGTAAAACCTTTTATTTAAATTCCAAAAAGAACTAAAACTTACTTACACAACACTGCAAGCAGACAGGCCTTCACACCACTCAAGGGGTGTACTGTATGTCGGAAAACGGAGCACCAAGATGGCGCCCGCGCCGGATATGACGTCAAGCCGTCGATCGTCAAAAGCTCCTCCCACTAGCGTATCTACGCGTTTCGCACGATATATCAATGAAATAGAGCTTGTGAGATGGATCCCCAAATTCGGAAGAGAGTGGGGGGCCCATTGAAAATTGAAATTGTCCCGAAGATACTGAACCTCTGAAGTGGGCAAAGCAATATTTACAGCAATCGTTTTAGAGGAATTCAAAGTAAGACCCGAGGCCATAGAAAATCGGTGAAGTAAATGGAGGAGACTAGGTAAAGACACTCGAAGAACAGACACATACATAAGGACATCATCAGCAAATAAGGCACATTTATGATCTCGTTGGCCACAGTAGATATCGGAGATAGCAGGGTCAGAACGGACAGCAATAGCAAGTGGTTCCATTGCTAATGCAAAAAGTAAAGGGGAAAGGGAGCATCTCTGTCTAGTACCTCTCCCAATAGACAGAGGAGCCGATTTGTATCCATGAATAGAGACCTGGGCTGAAGGATTACAATATAGAGCCCGCAATAAAGTCAAAAAGGAGGAACCAAACCCAAATGCACCTAACATGTGAAATAAATAGGTATCTGTACATTTAATATCATTTTTGTGTCTATCATTGAATTCTGTACAGTTTGTTTTGCGTAAAACGCAATACTAACAAGCACAGACATGTTCAGTGTATAAACATGTCCATAGTATATCCACAGTCTGTATACCCAATAAATGTACTATCTAAAGTGTACCGGTCTGGGCACAGAAACCAGACCAGGAACCAGAGGGTCTAATAAAATTACTGACCTGTATAACATGGAATCCAATTTAAAACTGCAGATTGAGGGCACACTTTTGTTATTCCTGCTACAAAGTAAGGTGGTGCGGATTGTCCCTATCCTTGTATTTGATGCAGTATATCATGTCTCAGACTTGTAATGCAAACTGTACTTACAGCTCACTAGAGTCTTGTTCAATTCATGCGATAACGCAGCACAATAAAACTCTAGTGGATCCTTGTCTGACATTCCTTGTTGTATTGTGTTACAAGAAATACTAAACATAACTCTTGTTTTACAGTAAAGGATTGCGAGCCATTCCAGAAGCTGAAATTGGTTTAGCCGTTATCTACATGTCAACAGAAATATATTGCAATCCCCAGCAATGTGTAGGGAATAGAAATGGGATAGGTATGATGGCACTTAATCTACTTTCTGGTACGCTTAAAGTCATGTCGTATATTGCAAATCTTTGGTACGCATACTCTGGTCTATTGATAAATGTCATCTGTGTTGGTTTTAGGAATAATTTATTGGATGTATTTAAGCAAATCTATAGTCTATTTAAAGTTTTTTGAGTGCATGTGCTGAGTTCAGTTTGGAAATTAGCAAACAGGCATCTGGGTGATTTTAGTAAGGGATGAGTGGAAATGATCTCTTCTGCAAAATTAATTTGTCCTGTAAAGTGATGATTAAAACCGTGGAATTTTACATCTGGATTACTTTTATAGGAGGCGGAAAGGGGTTCCCCCCACCCCTCTGCCTTTACCGGGGTACCCTGTGCATTTGGGGAGGCCTGTAAGGATGCAACCGATGGCATCCAACTCTGAGCACACTGTGAGAGGAACGGGTGTTGTTCCTCCCACTGTGTGATGATAGAAATCTGAAGTGACGAGGACTTTGTCACTTCCAGTTTTGTTCTCATATAAACAAGTTGTTACTTGTTAAGGCATCAGATCTAACCAATCTTGGTTTAATGTGATGCTTTGGAGGCCAGAGGAGAGATATGGGGTCTAATAGACCCCAGATCTCTCCAAAAAGAGGACCTGTCATGGCCAATGCCCAAAAAGAAAATTAAAGTTAAAAAAAAAAAAAAAAAAAATAATCTTTAAAAAAAATGTTTTTGAGGCACCCCGCGTGCTCATGCACATATGACCATGTGAGTCCCACACCCATATGTAAATGGAAATTGCACCACACATGTGAGGTATTGCCGTGAATGTCAGAGTGAGAGCAATAATTCTAGCACCACTGCTCCTGTGTAACTCTAAACTGGTAACTTGTAAAGGCTTTTAAAGCGGAGTTCCAGCCCTCGCCACCTCTCAAAAAGAAATATGAGTCAGCAGCTACAAATACTGTGGCTGCTGACTTTTATAAGTAGGGCACTTACCTGTCATGCATCCAGCATCCAGGACTTACCTGTCCTCACCCTGAGCCGACTCTTCAATCGGCTGTCAGGTGCTGGCGCCGCCATCTTGACTAAGTGAAATCGGCAGTGAAGCCTTGCGGCATCACGCTCGATCTCCTACTGTACATGCTTGAAGCATGCTGCACTTTGTGCATGGGCTGCAGTCCTCTGCAACATTGGAAGTGTCCCAGAGGGCTGCAGGGGTGTGCCGAACTTCTGGCTTGGTTCACTGCAGCGAACTCAGCCAGAAGTAGGAGCAGTGGGTACCCGATCAAGACCAGGTTACTTGTTCCCCCCAGTCCACCTAAAGGTGCTGAATGTGGCAGCCAGGGGGGGAAGGGGCAGAAAAGCGGAGCTTCCACTTTTGGGTGGAACACCTCTTTAAAATGTTGCCTACAGAGATTTCTAGATACTATGCCATTGCCAGAAGGTTAGCTGTGTCTCCCAGCACAGTCTAAAGAGCATGGAAGAGATTCCAGGAGACAGGCAGTAACTCTAGGAGAGCTGGAGAGGGCCGTAGAAGGCCCTTAACCCATCAGCAGGACCGGTATCTGCTCCTTTGTGTAAGGAGGAACGGGATGAGCACTACCACAGCCCTACAAAATGACCTCCAGCAGCCCACTGGTGTAAATGTCTCTAAACCAAACAACCAGAAACAGACTTCATGAGGGTGGCCTGAGGGCCCAAAGTCCTCTGGTGGGCTCTGTGCTCACTGCCCGGTACCATAGAGCTCGATTGGAATTTTCCGTTGAGCACCAGAATTGGAGGTTAGCCACTGGTGCCCTGTGCTTTTCACAAATGAGAGCAGGTTCACCCTGAGCACATGTGACAGACATGAAAGGCTTTGGAGAAACCGGTGAGAATGTTATGCTGCCTGTAGCATCGTTCAGCATGACTGTTTTGGTGGTGGGTCAGTGATAGTCTTCGGAGGCAAATCTATGGAGGGACACATAGACCTCTATAGGCTAGACCAGTGGTGGGCAACCTTTTTTTTCAACTGAGCCAAATCTCGCCAAAACCACGATTGAAATTTATTTTGAGAGCCACATTTTTAAAACTGAAAAATACATCCCCCATATAGTAATTCATCCCCCATAGTAATTCATCCCCCATATAGTAATTCATCCCCCATATAGTAATTCATCCCCCATATAGTAATTCATCCCCCATATAGTAATTCATCCCCCATAGTAATTCATCCCCCATATAGTAATTCATCCCCCCTATAGTAATTCATCCCCCATATTGTGTCAATTCACTTACCTTTGCTCCGCGCGTTCCTCTCGCCGTGTTCCCGCGCCGTTCCGGTCTTCAGGGCGGACTGTGAGAGGAGAGGAGTTCGTCCCGCTGCCCCGCCTACATCCTGACAGCCAATGTTTGCCACGCTCCGCGGGCCGGATTAAAAGGTCCGCCGGGCCGTAGTTTGCCCATTGCTGGGCTAGCTGCAGAGTCCTGACTTTTGGGGCGGCCGCCCGAGAGGAGGGAGGGGAGCGGGCGCCTGGCACACAGAAGAGCCGCATTGAAGTGTGTAAAGAGCCGCATGTGGCTCGCGAGCCGCGGCTTGCCGACCACTGGGCTAGACAATTGGACCCTGACTGCCATTAGGTATCAGTATGAAATTCTTGGACCGATTGTCAGACCCTACACTGGTGCAGTGGGTCCTGGGTTCCGCCTGGTGCACAACAATTCCTGGCCTCATGTGGCAAGAGTATGCAGGCAGTTCCTGGAGGATGAAGGAATTGATGCCATTGAATGGCCCCCACGCTCGCCTGACCTAAATCCAATAGAACACCTCTGGGATATCATGTTTTGGTCCTTCCGACACTGCCAGGTTGCGGCTTAGACTGTCTAGGAGCTCAGTGATGCCCTGGTCCAGATCTGGAAGGAAATACCCCAGAACACCCATCCGTCATCTCATTAGGAGCGTTCCCCGACATTCTCAGACATGCATACAAGCACGTGGGGGCTATACAAACTACTGAGTACCATTTTTATGTTGTTGCAATGAAATTTCAGCAAAATGGACTAGCCTGCTGCATAATTTTTTCACTTTGATTTTCGAGGTGTCTTTGAATTCAGTTCTCTGTAGCGTGATCATTTTCATTTCCATCAAATGACATCCTTATGTTCCTAACACATTACCCAGTCCATATCAGTATACAGTTGCAAGAAAAAGTAGGTGAACCCCTTGGGATTACGTGGAGTTTTGCATGAATTGGGCATAAAATGTGCTCTGAACGTCATCTAAGTCACAACAATAGAAGAACACAGTCTGCTGAACATAATACTACACAAACATTAGATGTTGCCATGGTTTAATTGCACATAACATGTAAACATTCATAGTGCAGGGAGGAAAAATTATGTGAACCTTTGGACTTAATAACTGGTTGACCCTCCTTTGGCAGCAATAACCTCAACCAAATGTTTCCTGTAGTTGCAGATCAGACCTGCACAACGATCTGGAGTAATTTTGGACCACTCCTCTTCACAAAACTGTTTCAGTGTAGCAATATTCTTGGGATGTCTGGTGTGAATCGCTCTCTTAAGGTCATGCCACAGCATTTCAATCGGGTTGAGATCAGGACTCTGACTGGGCCACTCCAGAAGGCGTATTCTGTGCTGTTGCAGCCATTGTTTTGTTGAATGACTTGTATGCTTTGGGTCATTGTCCTGTTGCATCACCCATCCTCTGCGGAGCTTCAGTTGGCGGACAGATGGTCGTACGTTTTCCTGCAAAATGTCTTGATAAACTCTGGAATTCATTTTCCCATCAATGACAACAATCCGTCCAGGCCCTGAGGCAGCAAAGCAGCCCCAAACCATGATGTTCCCTCCGCCATGTTTTACAGTAGGGATGAGGTTTTGATGTTGGTGTGCTGTGCCTTTTTTTCTCCACACATAGTGTTGTGTGTTCTTCACAAACAACTCAATCTTGGTTTCATCTGTCCACAGTATAGTTTGCCAGTAGTGCTGTGGAACATCCAGGTGCTCTTTTGCAAACTTCAAACATGCTGCAGTATTCTTTTTGGACAGCAATGGCTTCCTCCGTGGTGTCCTCCCATGTACTCCATTCTTGTTTAATGTTTTCCTTATTGTAGATGTGTCAACAAAAATGTTAGCATGTGCCAGAGATTTCTGTAGGTCTTTAGCTGACACTCTGGGATTCTTCTTTACCTCATGCAGCATTCTGCGCTGTGCTCTTGCAGTCATTTTTACAGGACGACCACGCCTAGGGAGAGTAGCAACAGTGCTAAACTTTCTCCATTTGTAGACAGTCTGTCTTACCGTGGACACATGAACATCAAGGCTTTTGGAGATACTTTTGTAACCCTTTCCAGCTTCATGCAAGTCAACAATTCTTGATCGTAGGTCTTCTGAGAGCTCTTTTCTGCGAGGCATGGTTCACATCAGACAGTGCTTCTTGGAACCAGTAAACCCAAAACAGGTGTGTGTTTTTTAAGGGCAGGACAGCTGTCAGCAACACATCCAATATAATCACACTGATTGGAGTCAAGGTTGGCTCACTCCTGGCTCCAATTATCTCTGGGAGAAGTCTTTAAGCTAGGGCCTCACATACTTTTTCCTCCCTGCACTGTGAATGTTTACATGTTCTGTGCAAATAAACCATGGCAACATCTAATGTTTGTGTAGTATTATGTTCAGCAGACTGTTCTTCTATTGTTGTGACTTAGATGACGTTCAGAGCACATTTTATGCCCAATTCATGCAAAATTCCACGTAATCCCAAGGGGTTCACATACTTTTTCTTGCAACTGTAGATATCTAGCATGATATTTTTCCCCATTGAGATCTGATGTGTTTTCAAAGTGTTCCTTTATTTTTTTTGAGCAGTGTAGGAGAGGAATGTCAGAATTGGACCTGACTGGAAGTGGTTAACTTGTTATAGGTGAGCACATGGCAGCTTGTGATCCCATGGATGCAAGCACCTTCCCTAGTTACCTGCTTTGTACTCAGCTATAATGAAGACAGGGATAGTTTCTGTGACAGCTTGTAAAAAGGGTGTAAAATGGGCCAAACTTCCTCAACTCCATATGCAGAAATCCGGGAAGTACATTCTCTCGTGATGTCACTACAGGAAAAGCATCCTCACTGGTTAGCAACAAAAATGCACAATGCATGAAAATACATGTAACATGCACAAAATGTACTTCTTTTCTATTGATATCTACAAGTCCTTCAGCTGCTGTTCCAGACAGGGTTTGTAGTTCATTCACAGATTTCTGTGAATGAGTGACTCGGTTATACAGGTGCACAGCCGTACCGATTTAAAGAATGGCAGTGATACCAGGGTGAAGAACCTCTCTACGCTGTTACAGGGGAAGGGGCGTTCTAGGTGGGGGGGTCTGTTTAGCAACAAGTTACAAGTGACACTGTTTTATACGGGTGTAACATATTGCAAATGGTGAAGTTAGCTTTTAGCACGTCAAATGTCCATGAATCCCTAAATGTGGCCATAGAACAGATCTAAGGTAGCTGAAATACATGGAACCAGCAGGTCCTCTGGTTGCCTGTGAAATGCTATAAAGCTGTTCTCAGGATCTGATCTGCAGAAGCCCCCCAGTAAAGAAAGGCTCTAAGTATTGTAAAAATTATATGTTAATTTAAACTGTTTTTTATGTTTTCATTTAGAAAAGGCAGCTAAGAGTAAAATAATTGGATCGTCGTTTTCCTGCAGCATGGCTGTCAATGAAACTATATTGCCTGTATCCACCTTCAACACCACCGCTTATGTTGCAAATACGGAGCCACAGGACCAGACTCATAATTGGTATGTCTTTTTGAATACCTAATGTTCCTTCTGTCCATTTTATGTTTTTGCGTCTTGTGCTATTTTGTTTTTCATCCAGACCATATTTACATAAAATTTATATGGTGACAGATGAAAAATTGTTCACCTGTTGAAAGATTTGTTTAGCACATATTATTACATGTGGTGTGGCTTTGAAGTCACACTACTTCATTTCAAAGCTGCTAATCAGCGCGACTTCATGTGCGGCTTACAGACATCTGTGTGACTTCATTTACACAGATGTCAATGTAAGTTGCACATGAAATCACACAAACATAATGCAGGAACCTTTTTCAAAGCTGCTGCCACTTGAGTTGCACCAATTTAAACTGCCCCATAGCAGCAAATACTTGTGACTTGTCATGTGACTTTTTTGTCAAGTCGCACCAGTATGAACTGGGGCTTGAATCAGTATACAGTACCACTTTAGTAAATGGTCTTTTTTTTTTACTGTACTATACTATATTTGCACATCAGCTTTTTCATCCCAGTGTAAGGCTAATGTTCACCTGATACCTATTTTTTCTTAAATAAATGGCAACCAATGATGCATTTATTTTCTCCCTATGCATGACTGAGCTCCGTGGGGCAGAGTGAAATGCATTGGGGTTGCGGTCTGGTTGGAGCCCAGGCAGAAGGTGTCATACACCCGTATGGGGCTTTGCAAAGATGTACGACTTCCAGGACTTCTGCCTTTTCCATTAGATGTCTAGAGCTGGGATGAGCTCTTTCCTTGTCTGCACTCCAAATGGTTGCTACATAAGGGGACCTGGTGGAGACTTGAGCAGCACCTGACATTCCATCATGATATACATGTTAACTGTTTAGTTATTCTCCCTGTATGATCAGCTGTGTAACATTCTTTTCAGAGTTTGCACATTAAAGTGGTTTAAAAGGTTTTAATTTAACAAAAGCAAATAAAAATAACAAACATGTTATGCTTACCTGCTCTGTGCTGTGGTTTTGCACAGAACAGCTGTGATCCTCTTCTTTTTGGGTCTTCCACCGGCGGTCCTGGCTCCTCCCCCTGCTGAGCACCCCCAATAGAAAGCATCTTGCTATGGGGGCACTCTGGCAGGCCATGCTCCTGTGAATAGGCATTGTCCATTGCCCCGTTCTCTCCTCATTGGCTCACTGGATGTGATTGACAGCAGCAGGAGCCAATGGCTCCCCACCGCTTTGTGAGCCAATGAGGACAGAGACGGCAGGTCGGGTAAGTATAAGGGATGGCTGAAAGGAGCTGCACCCAGAAGTTTTTTTTCCTTAATGCATAGAATGCTTTAAGTTAAAAACCTTCTGCTTTTAGAACCACTTTAACTATGTGTACTTTCAGCAAGGTGATCCAAAAAAAGCTTGGTGTAATATCACAGAAAAATTGCATACACTTCTGAAATTGTGAAAAACCTAAAATTTTTCTTTTACCACTGTTATGCGAGAGAACACCAAATATATCACATTACAGGCATGTACATATGTACTGTATGTGCAGTATAAATGTGTATATATGAGGTGGTATCAAAGTTTCGAGACTAGTTTTGTAACACACCAACAGATAGCAGCACAAGGCTGTACGCACAGTTACAAGGAGCACCGACCTTCATAAGTCAGTGTGCCAAAATCATCATCCTGTGTACATTGGGAGCTGTGCAGCTGGTGCTATTCTGACCCCATGCATTACCACGTCTGCTATTTCATCATGGACAGCAAGTTAGAACAAAGTGCAAATGTGAAATTCTGTGTGAAACTGGGCAAATCTGCCACAGAGGCATTTGATATGATCCAGCAAGTTTACAGCGATGCTGCAATGAGCCGTTCCAGGTGTTTTGAGTGGTACGCACTTCAAGCGCGGAAGAACATCACTGGAAGATGACCAGAGATCAACAAGCTCATCCCCCCGTAAATGTCTAAACCATTCGTCAACTTGTTCTTGCTGGTTGTTGGACAATCCACAACATTGCTGCCATTGTCGGTGTGTCATACGGAATAGTCCAGGCAATCCCCATGTGTGATTTGAACATGCGCTGTGTTGCTGCCAAATTCGTCCCTAGGCTGCTGACCCAGGAGCAGAAGGAACAATGCTTCGAACTCTGCCAAGAACTCCGTCAGCACGCCATGGATGACCCGTCCTTCATGTTGAGGTTTATTGCCGGTGATGAAACTTGGATGTATGGGTTTCACGCAGAATTTCAAGTTTGCTTTTTGTTCTACTTTGCTGTACATGATGAAATGGCAGATGTGGTAACGCACTAGGTCAGAGTAGCACCAGTTGCACAGCTCCCGATGTACACCGGACAATGTCTTTTGGCACACTGACTTATGAAGGTCAGTGTTCCCTGTGCTGCCATCTGTTGGTGTGTTGCAAACCTAGTCTCGAAACCTTTTGATACCACCTCTTATTATGGGGGGAGGAGGGTGTGTGTATTTTATAAATTTTGTGGGTTTTTTTTATATGTTATTTTTATTGCTGTTCCTCTTCCTCTTGCCAGTGTAGATCAGGGACATCAGTGTTCCTAATCTGCTGTTTTCTTGGCTGCTGTTGTCAAGATTCGACAGCTCTGAACCTGGAAATGCTCAGAGCTGAGTGCTTCTGTGTTCAGTCAGCCCAGATGAGATCAGGGATGGGAGTTCTCAGCTTTTCTCCCACTCTTCATCCTAAATTCCCCTGTAGCAGTCATTGGCTCACAGAAGAGCAAGATGAGCCCAGTTACCACAAAGGGGCATAGGAGAAGGTTCTTCAGCATTCGTCTTGGATGATTTTCCCAGGCTGCAACTAAATCAGCTGGACAGAGCACGTACTAAAGGACATTGGCACAATTAAAAAGTTAGAGCAATTTGTCTCTCTGTTGATTCGGTATCCACCCAAGATTATCTTGGCTGATGTCAGGGGGGCAAATGTGCTGCTGGGAACACATCACTAGTGGCAGAATCTCCATATCAATGTCACCACTTTCCCTGTGTGGTGTTATTCTCTCAGTGGCCCCACATGCTAGCATGGGAACATCAGCACAAGCACATCTGTGTGACCTCTGAAATGTAATATGCAAAGCCATTTTGTTTTACTTTTTTCAGCTATTTTTACTTGTAATCTTTTCAGTGTGGATATAAGTGGCATTCGAGAAGTTAAAGAGACTCCCAACAGCAGTCGTAGACACAACAGCACTAAATCTGATATGTGTGTGGACCGTGATCTAGAATCAAGTTCTAGTGCGGATTGCAGAACTGCCATGTTTCAGGAGCAATCAAAACCAACAGAAAAAAAGAGCCAGTCAATTATATCTGTAGAAAAACCTTCTTCACAAAAGGAGAAAACTTCGCAGAAAATGGTGTCATCCAAGATGCTGGATTATTTCAAGCCTACTGCAAAGAAAAGGTATGTACAGTGCCAAAAAAGTTTTACTGGTCTTGACTGCCATTCTTTGGATGATGTAGAATACAGTGGTAATGATAGTGCTTTAAAACCAACTCCAGGAAAAAATGAATGTAAATAGTGTATTTTGTATCAATTACCCTTCCAAAAACACCTCTTTCTAAGCCATCCTGCAGTGTAATGGATCAAAGTCACAGTTTCCACTATGAGCAAAGCTCATATATCCTGCCCTGGGGAGTGGGCATTTTTCCCAGCTTGTGCATTCTCCTGCCTCTGGAACCTATGAGAGAGGACCCTCCGCTGCCTGAAAGTAATCCCTGGAAGTAAACAGAGGTAGAGAGAGAGAGATCATGTGACCATGGCTTCAGTTAAAGTGGTTGTAAACCTGAGACATGAAATATGAACAAAGCATATCTCTCTATAGTTTGTTCTTGTCTCCGTTAGGAGTACTGTCATTTGTGTCTGCTGCTTTGTTTTTCTGCTATCAGCATGAATCACTTCTGACAAGTTTTCCTGACAGCAAGTGAAAAATGGGGACCTGGAGGGGGGAAGACATCCAGCAGATTGACAGCCTCAGCTCTGTTCCTGTGAGCTGTTTGGAGGGGGTGTCTCTCTTCCTTCCAATCCGCACTCAGAGTTCTCATCAGTGAGCTATGTAGAGTGTAATTTCAGCTCTCATCCCCCTTTTTCTGAACTCTCAGACAAGTTTCATCAGCCCAGCACTGTGAATGGATGTAGAGAAGAGAAGACTGCAGATAAACAGATACAACTTGTGTAGGAGAATTAGTTTCATGTCTGTGTATCACCTGAGAGCAGTGACTTCACTGGATATATGTGAGGGTTTACAACCACTTTAAGTAAAATAAGCATTTAGATGCTTATCCGTTCATACCAAAGGTTAGAGGGGGGTGGCTAATATCCTGGATTTGGTCTTTAACCCCTTGGCGCCGGCACCTCCTGGCCCTTTAAGGGTTTCAAAAGCCGGGAGGGGGGTGGGGTTTAGGGTCATGTGACCGCCATGACACTTCGTCACGGCGGTCACATGATCGGGAAAGGTCCAAATCGAAAGAGGAGATTGGGACCTTTCCGTGAGTACCGGACATGCATGCTGGGAGCGTGCAGGGCACGCGCTCTCAGCATATATATTCTTTTTTAAAAGAATGCAAATGTGCGGCCACTCAGCGTCTAGGCCCAGACGCTGGGAGGCCGCACATTTGCGTTCGGCCGGCATGGAGAGGTTTAAACCGAGGGCAATCAGAGGTGGCAAATTTAGCATTACATTTACACTTTTATGTCTATGTTCTTAATCTTTCTGTCTGCTGTAAAGTCCTGATTTGATCAGCTTCTAGGACTGTACTAATGTTTGACATGTACTAACATAAATATGAGTCCAGCACACATGGACATTGTTAGCCACCGCCACTCTCCAGGGCTGACATGTAATTATCAACAATGTGTAATCGCCAGTGCCTATGCCTCCGATTATACGCTATTGAGCTGTACATGACACAAGGAATAGTTCTGCTTTAAGTCCTTCCCTTCCCTCACCACATTTGGAATATAATTTTTTTTCTGGGGGGGCGGGGGAGTGTGTACCTAGTTTTGTAAGGTACTTATCCTACTTCAGTGGTCCTAGCAAAAGTTGGCTGCACTTCCTTCGCCCACAGCTTTCTAAGACACGTTATAGGTCCCAGAAGGCTGCAGGACCATTCACAAAATGTAGCGCGCCTCAGCATGCGCAGTAGTAAGCCAGCTGTGCAGCCTCAAGCTGTTGCAGTCGACTTTCCATGCTAAAATTGCTAGCACCAGGAACCCGATGACCAGTGAAGAACTAGTCCAGGTGAGGATGGCGCTGGATCTCTCGACAGGTAAGTGTCCTTTTATTAAAAATCAGTAGCTATTTTTTTTTCTAGAGTGAAGAACTGCAGAAATATAACCTGTAGTAGTCCGTAGGCCCAGGTTGTATATACCACTTACTGAGAACTTGTCTTATAATATACCCATTGTAAAGGTGGTTTGATTAAACGCCTTACATATTTGATAGTAAAATATAGAGGAAGTCGTTCCTGCTTCCTTTTAGTGTAGTCAAAACAAACAACATTGAATAAATGTTTATTACACACAATGAGATCAAATAAGGACACAAGCATTGAAAGTCCATAATATGTTTTTTGTAATAACAGTATTATTTTTCCCTAAACAATAATGCTTTTCTGATAACCAGGAGAGAAAAGAATTTGTAACTTTTTTTTACACATTCTCAGATTCAGTATTGTATCAATAAAACACACAGGATTTTAAAGCCTTTAATCTGCAGAAATTTCCATTGCTTGCATTCAGATTAATTCACCTGGCAAATGGTTTCACTCCCCTCGCGCTGCCATCTTACTTTTTGGAAGCCAGCTGTGACTTCCTGTTGTTTCACAGCCAGCTTCTCGCTGTACGTGCTCGGCTGGCTGCGCTTTCTCAATGGTCCCACAGTCTCCTGAGATATGTGACGTCTTCCAAGGGGTTGCTCATGAAGGGGAATGTGGGGGAGGGTGTAAGACTTTCGACTATGCTCACGTAGGTAAGCAGACGAAGTGGGAGTGGGTACCTGTCAGAAATAGGTACCCACTCCCTGAAAAAGAAAATTCATAGTGATTAGAGAAGAGGGAGGACAGAGCAGGATTTCAAGGGAAGTTCCTCTTTAAGTTCTTCTACAGCTTCAGTGACATACAGTAACTTAGCTGTAATGAAGATTGTCTCACATCTTGCAAGTCTGTAGAAATCTTCTGTCCAGTAATACCCAGTCCTCTTCACAGCTCTGAACTTCTGGTTCTACTGGGGTTAATAGCTTCAGCTAAACTTTAGCTTTGAAGGATTACTATCCTTTTTTGATTATATACTTTTTTTTTTTTTTTATGTTTTTTCCCCACATGTACATTCAGGGCTGGATGGTGCACATCGGGAATCGCACACAGGAATGCGTTTTGCATTTCTGTGCAATACACATGCAGGCCTGTACAGTGCAATTTCAGCCCATTCATTTTGAATGGTCTGAAATCGCACAGCCCCGCAGCAAAAGTCTTGTATGCACTACTTGTGCAAAATCACTGCAACCGCATTGCATAGTACTTTTGTACCATGCAATCTGGTTCAGGCATGTGCACTGCATTTGGGGTGTCATTAATGTTATATTGACACCCGCTGCAGATTGCAACTGTTGTGCGTTTGCAACACGGTGCAGGAACTGCCCTTAGGCCAATATCTCCAACATAAGTGATGGTGATTAGAATAAATTCTTATGTTGCCAGTGGTGCTTGCAATAGTCTCCTTTTGTTTAAAAAGGTTTTACGCATGCAAGCGGGAGCACGTGGGTCTGATACATATTTTGTGGAGATGTCCAAAACTTCATAGGTATTGGGAGGAGGTGGTAAGTACCCTTAATTTGGTGCTTCAAACTAATTTAATTCTGCATCATAAGCAGTGCCTTTTGGGTGTTTTAGATTCGGTAACGCAGGATACATTTATATTCGAGGCCCTTTCCAAGGCCTTGTTCCAGGTGCGCAAGGCACTTCTAGTGCACTGGACCTCTGATACTCCCCCCACTGTTGCAGACTGGAAGCAAAATATGGGAATTATTTTACAATATGATTGTTTCGTTTACCAGCATAGAGGATGTTCGGATAAATTTGAGCAACTTTGGGATGCTTGGTTGGCCACTCCAGGTTTAGCCTCTTTTGATTTAATAATGTATAGGCTGCTGTAGTTGCTTTTGATTGCAACTTGATTATCACTTTCTCAAGGCCAGTGTATGTCTCATGTCTCTCCTGTGTTCCCTGATGGGGGAGGGGGCGGGGCGCTCTCTGTTTTCTGTGAGTCCACTGTTGTGGGGATACTCCTATTGTTCTATATATGCAAAATTGCCATATCCTCTGATTGTATTGTAATATGTTATCTCTGTAATGTTGCATAAACTCTTGGATTTCTTGTCTAATTGATAGCACTGGAAGTTTTTCTTTATTATGTTGTTCGGTTTGTTAATGATTGAGTCTTTGATACCATTCTGTCTATATTTTGTTATTTTGAGATTTGTATGACTTCAACATGAATAAACGTCATTAGGTTTATTGGCTGCTGTCTAAATTGGCCCTAGTATGTATATGTATGAATGTGAGTTAGGGACCTTAGATTGTATGCTCCTTGAGGGTTAGGGACTGATGTGAATGTACAATATATGTATGTAATGCGCTGCGTAAATTGTTGGCGCTATATAAGTACCTGAAATAAATAAATTTCTGATTTAAAAAAAAAGGTTTTAGGCCTCATGCACATGGTCACTTTTGCCCATATCACTAAAAAACCCAAAAAAACAGGTGCATTTCAGGGGCCGGGAGGCACAGGTGCAGGGTACCATCCGCTGCCATTAGCCCTGTGAAAATCAATGACAGGCTGAAATATACAACAGCTGTACACTGTTCTGAGTGGTTCTCATTTTCAAGGCCGTATGTTTTAAGGGATGTATGCACTGAATGCAAAAAAATGCAAAACATTCTGTATCTGGGCGTAGGTTTCTGAATGCATACATCCCTAAATGTGGTACAACTGATAACAGCTGATCCTGTGCCTCCTGGCCGCCAGGTTTTAACACTGCAGACAAAAGTGCCTGTGTGCACAGCCTTTAAAGTTACCGCATTTTTCGCTCCATAAGACGCACTTTTTCCCCCCAAAAAGGGGGGGAAAATGTCAGTGCGTCTTATGGGGCGAATATGGAGCGGCCGGTCCGGTATTTCCACCGCCGCCGTGTCAGAATACCGGGCCGGCGCTCAGCTCTGCAGTGGGACCTTACCTGTTCCTCTATCCAGCGGTGCGCTGTCTTCCCGGCTTCTGTAGTGTGTGTGACAGCCGGGTCCCAAGTGCGCATGCGCAAGAAGCGGTGCTCTTTGTGAATGGTAAGGCGGTACCTGGGACACATGACAGATCCCAGAAGCCGCCGGACCAATCACAAAGCGCAGCGCTTC